ACCGTATGTAAAGCCTGAAGTGGCAATCATAGCAATTCACTACGAAAATCATAGTTCTAGAAAAAAAAACGGCACCTCAATGAACAACTTGGCGCATTTGATGTCAGTAATTAGTGGAATTCCATTATCCACAGCCATTCTTCTAGTTTTGTATCCATGCGTTCTGAAACAAATTACCAAGCAGTGAAAAATCTTACCTTCTCAGTCAACTTTTCTAAAAATATATCTCTGGTAAACACCATGATGACGTCACAAACCTGTATGCTGATACCCGATAGGCCCCGGATCCCCGAATCGGAAGATTGATAACCAAATGGAATTCCTTGTTCTCAAAGAACTCTGCTACTGATCTGTAACAAAAAACACATTCAGTACTGCTCAAAAGTCTACAGTAAAGGGTAGCTGCCTGCAATCTTTCTGGAAATTCGAGTGCTTACAAGGCCCCAATGACGCGTGCATTTGAAGTTTAATTATTAATCCAATATGTACGAAATCGATGATTTTTTCAAAAAGGGGTTGGTATTCCTTTTTTCGTCAAGATAACTACACCTTGTTCCTCCAGCTGTTCTTCTCATCAGATATTCCCTCTTCAAAGGGCCAATCGACAGCTCTCATGTGGATGTTGTTCGACTGGAAATAGTCCGCTGTGCCTTTCGAGCCAAAAAGATCAAAGTTCATATTCTGCAACAACTGCACACTGCGCAACATCTCCGACTTTGCCTAAAAAAGAAAGTGGAATTCTAGAATACCGTCAAAAACGGAAAATGGTAGGTAATTAGCTAACATGATAGCCTCCGATCGACAAGAAAATGTTCTTCTTTGGAACTATGAATCCCAGTTGAAAGAAGTGCTTTCAAGTACGCTTCTTGACGATGTCGCCCGAAACATGCCACCTGAAAGAATGAAATAATAATGCGGAAATTCCTATAGGGCCAAAGAACTTGAATTCGGCATGTAAAACAGTCAGCTAATACCTCTCCTGTAGACGCCATTTCCACGCCAAGCATTACATCTGCGCCTGTCAGTCGCGAAAATGAGAACTGTGGCACCTGAATAGAAATTGTGCGCTTCCTTTCACCGAGTATAAATCGATCATACACAAACCTTCACACCGACGCGTCCCTTACCACGAAGCATGGCGTGCTTCTTCAGAGAGCTACCGATTGCGGGGTTGTCCGCTGCCATCATTGCTCGCGTGGCCAGTGCGACAAAGTCAAAGTCGAGCGTTTTCGAGACAAAGGGGAACGAACGCGATACTCGCAGATTGCATTCGATCACTTTCAGTTCATTATCCTGGTGAATGGATTACAATAACATCTAATGTGACAAAAGAAGTCACCAAGAACGGCAGAAGAAGCTACTCAATGAAAAAATAATTCCCGGTTTACGCAAAAACTCCCAATAAAATCCTCAAGGAATCGCCAATATACAGTAAAATCTCTACAATACTTAATTGAACCTTTTAAAACCCGTGAGGAAGTCGTCTAATAAGTCATCAAAACCATAAATACCTTTGCAATTAGCTGCATATTGAATGGCCCATTTGCATTGAAAGCAGAAGCGATTCGAGTTGTAATGTCTTGAATGCGTTCCAACGTAACCTGAACAAACGATCGTTTGCGATGCAAATATATGTCAGCAATTTCCCGTACCTGGTTGAGATCCTGTGGAGGGGTGACCAGCGTTGCATCACCCGAATGAATTCCGGCATTCTCCACATGTTCACAAACAGCCATTACAAGCAATTCACCTTCCATAGCGACTGCATCAACGTCTATCTCCTTTGCTTCACTGAAATGCTGATTGTGGCCAGAATAGCTACGGCAAGGTTACAGTGCAATAAGTAGATGACGCAACGCTCAACTTGATCGAATCTTTTCGGATGCGCCACACTCCAGATTTCTATTAGAAATCGATAGAAGCGCATAAAAACATGCAGCCTTGTGTTGCCTAATCAGAGCAGATACCTGGCGGCGCAGTTGTACACTGACTGCAGCAGAGAATGCGTCACGCGTAACCTGCCCGAATACGATCCCAACGTTCTACGGTTCATTAGGAATTCGAAAGCTGGCTGGCCCTTGTTCACAGACGATTATAAGGTTTATCCAGATTGATAAGACGCCACAGTAGGAGCGCCAAGCCGGCCAATTACAGAATCTGTCACATCAGCGTGACACTTATTTTGTGAGTCGAGTTGCTTTTCCATTCGATGATCAAAGATGTGCGGTAACAGCATACATTGGAAAGATAATACTGTTAATAATTTGAAAGCTTGAAAGACGGAAGTATTCTAAGGATGATTAGTATGGGGTTAAATTTGATAAACCGAATGAGTTGTCGACGGAATCGCTAGGCACTGTGCCCCTTTATGAGCAACCGAGATGGCAGGACGTATACAGAGAGAACAAATTCAGATGTTAATGATGAGAAACATCCTAATTATTCACCTAAAGGGGCAAAATAAATCTTGGAAAATATGACGGAGCACATGAAATACCTGATAAATTTTGACACCACCACAGGGTGCTCTTTGGCAACAATAGCAGCCTGTTTCAAGAACATCGCCAAATCCTCCTCAGTATGCGCAACGTTCATCGCTGCACCAGATAGTACATAGGACGGTCGAATGAGGCATGGATAGCCGACCTTGGCACAGAATTGCTGAAATTGTAGGTTGAACTCAGTCTATGCAAAACAATTGAGTTCATAGATTACTAATGATTTCATTTCCAATTTCCTGATGAGAGTGTAAGCGAACTCAACCTTAACATCTTCGATATCTTCACTTTTCTTCCACTGTGGTTGAATGATTTGCAAATGTTCCAACTTTCTGCTGAACTTGTATCGATCCTTCAGCGCTGTCGATGTCATTTGGGGTTGTACCAAAGATGTTCACCTGCAAAATCAAATTCATGCTGGAAGCAACAGAAATCAAATCACGTGATCCACCAGTTACGAGTTAGATATAAAGCCTGAGAACAACACAAGTATGGGTCAAAATTGAAGATGTTAATGGTCCACATGATCAATCTCTACAAATAGTCTCTCAATCTGAAACCTAAAAAAACTCGAGATGTAAAAAGCCGCAAGCTTAAGAAAAATCGACACAATCTAAAACTGGTTGAAAATATCCGTTGAGCAGGCAATCTATGTGTTCAAATGGAATAAAACACGTATAATCGCACGTATCCCACTGATCTGCCATTTATATCGTTTCTCTTGGATAAGCCATGCATCTTCAACGAGTTTTCCACAAATTTCTCAAGACGATGATTCCGTCAATGGAACCCCCCCAAGCCAATCACACTTCACTACTCAAGAGCCCGCATTGGAGAAGAAGTCCAACATAGGCTTAAGACTTTATTTTACCTATGCCCTGGCACACTGTAAGTCACAAATACTTTGTCAAACACCTCTACACCCTTAAAGCAACAAATCCATGCATGGCGTATTCGAAGAAACCAATGGATAAAGCACGTTACTTCCCATCTTAATATTCCTGAATGTCCACATTCCTACAAAACACGGGTGCATGAAGCATATTAGAGACGATGGAAGATGCCGTCCGAATTGCCTATTCGCGAGAAGAACATTGCTCGGAGAATGCATGGGGCAGCTCCGCGCGGGCTGTGCACAGACGGGCATACCTAGCTTATTATTGGAGCTGTTTAATTGACTTTGTGATAGGGTATTGCGCCGAAGCTGATGCGAAGAACGATGAGTAGCGCATCAATGCAGAAATCAACAGCAGGAGTCACCTTAGCCGTGGAATATTAACCACTTATACAATGACTTTCAGAATGGGTGGTGTTCCGACGGAGTAATCGGTTCTATGCCGGGCATTCAATGATATTTGTCAATTGGCAGCACAAAGTGCAGAGCAGAGAACCTGAGTTTCCAACACGTTCGCTATTGGGAAGTGCCAGCCGTACCGTACCTTTACAAATGTGGGATTCCGCATAATAACATACGCGCCTTGACTGGCGGAATCAATTGCTATGGTGTTTGGAGCTTGCCCTCGAAAATGCCGAGTTATCACTCTTTCGGCCTTTCAATACATATAGATATCAATTACTGTTTCGAAAAGAGATTCTTCAAATATATCGATCACAATAATTCATAATCCGTGGAGGATACTAATAACATCTGACGCCTATAGACAGAGATATCGATTCGAAGAATTTTGAGTGATTTCCACAGACCGTCTGTGTGGATTGCAATTGATGGTGATGGTTTGATAACCTAGTGCTTTCAACTCCCTGACACAGCCCACGCAAGAAGCGTCAAACTCAACTGACGATCCGATACGCCGTTACCACTGCCCTAGTACTATGTAACTGATTTTCTGGAAGATTTCTGATCTAATAAGTTATTCGAACTCATGAACAATTTGTCATGGAATGGAAGTCCACCATATTGAATGACGCATTTCGACCCATGTAGTGAAGCGTAGAGATATTTAGTTGTGAGGCTTTACCGCAGCCGTAAGTCAACTGCTTACATGGTGTCAATTTGACGGCACACGTCTTCGACGGAACATTCGATTCTGGTTGCTAATATGATGATTCAAATGTTAGAATTAGAATTTAGATTGCCGATCACTATAGCAGTTAAAAAGGACATTACTCGAAATCAGCTTTAAATCTAACAGACTATCAATAATCTTGGCGATTTGCGATCGACGAATCCAGCTTGATTCGCTCGAGAAAGGAGTTTCCATCAGAATAAAGACGATCACTGAATTCCCCCCAAGCCCAAATTTTAGGTGAATCATGACTTGGAGAATAAATGCGATATACTGATCACTACATTCTTCTGGCAGATTAATGAGGGATATTCCCAATAGTTATGGCATTCGTATACGGCAGTTTATCAAATGTGGCGTTCAAATGCAGTTAGACTTATCGACATCGAAATCGCAATAGACATTACACGGGCGATTGCAACATGCGCTGGTCTGGCTGATTTGAGAGGTTTTTCTAAAACCGACCTTTCCATAAAAAGTACTTAAACTTCTCATCGCAAAGAAGCCAGTCATGTAAGAGATAGCCTTTAATGCTACCAGGAGTCCAGTTGTGTTCGGAAACCCGGACTGTGAAGATGACCTGAGTGTAGAGGACATCAACCAGGGATGGGGAGATGCCAAACTTAGCGAAATTGCTCCATTATGAAAAGTTCCAGCAACGGTAAAGAAGTGTTATCATTGTAAGGGTGTAGCGCAACGTAGATCAATCCCCTTCGTGGCACAAAGTCTTCGGTGGAACTGTGAGCAGCAAGTCAGACTTCTTGAATGGCCAAGCCAATCCCCCGATCTGAATCCCATAGAGCACATGTGGGAAGAGCTCAAAAGACGTTGTTCCGGGCAATAAGCAAAGAAGAAAAGTTCGCTGAACTAGTGAGTACGCCATGCCAATGTCTACCATCCAAAAAATTATCGGTTCGATGCCTTCGCGCTGCGCCGCTGTCATCAGTAGTCGAGGTTTTCCTACAAAATATTGATGCTTGTAGTATATTGCATTTTGTTATCTCGAATAAAATGGTTTTTCCTAAGCCTATGCTATCCGTGTTCCGCACTGATCTTGAGTTTGATCTCACTAATGTACCGTGAACTAAAGCGCATTGCGGCCAAATAGCCGCAATTATTCACAATATGTCATTGATCAACATACTGCAGTTTCGGTGGATTTCATGCAGTAGGAAAAAAGTTACGCTTGAAAAGAGCATTCGCGAGACTTGGTTGATAGCGCCACTGTACATTCTTCATCTTACGCTACCCTTGCATCATCAGAGTAAATGAAGTATTGTTATACTTTACATTATTGGTGTTCGAATGATTAGTAGCGGTCGAATTGTCTCGGCCTGAGCGTTTAGTCTATGCTTTCCAGCAAGGGTTGAAGGAGAATTCAGATTTTTCTTCAAGTGTTGGGAAACTTGAACTCAGAGGATTCCAAAACAAGTATACAGAGCATAACCAAATTGACCAGGGGCAGATAAGCAAGGCAAAACAAGTTGGACAATCGGTTTCGACCGAGACGAACCGCAACTGCATATCTGATCTTACGTACTAGAAGGGAGCGTACGCCTCAAAGTTTCGTGACAAAGAAGATTTTTCAGTCCCTGGATGACATGGAAAATTAACTTCAAATGGTCACCTCATTTGTCGGTTTTCTCAGGAAAGGCATTTGGCGAGAAACCGTCCGCATGATCGCTGACCATCCTGAGCGCTTTCTGGAACGCTTCTTCGAACGACCTACCAGATGCACAATCAGCTCGACGACCGGACTTCATTGATGCGATCTGAGGTGGAATTCATAACTTCCGGGGTAATAAAAAGAAATATCATTGAGGAAGGTACCTGTTGGTCACTCGAGCAACTTGCGAAGGAGAAAAAAAAAACAAAAACACGAGGATACAGCGAGGAATTTAATCACTAACACAGCAAGTAGTCTAGCGAGGCTCAAACATGCCGTGTCGAGATTAATTTATTATCACGGTACCTAGAATAATAAGAGTGCCCTCTGAAGTTAGTTAATTTTTTTAAGAGTTCACAGGAAAGGAATGTTCAAAAATGTCAATGGAGAAGATTTAACAATAAATGCTCAGACCATCTCTTTCAGCCGACTTCCGCTGGTTTTTCTAATCTCCATCAATCTGCTCACCTGTCACACTATTCCTTATGACTGGAAGTTTTTGACCCAACGCCAACTTAGCTGCCACATATGCAAGCGGATATCCGGTCGCTTTAGGATAATGCAGACCGAGACGAGAGTCTAGCATTCACCTCGATGATGTAGTACTGAAAGCGGTCAGAAGTGATGTTATATTTGAACAGATGCAGTTGTTTTTGAGGATCAAAAAACATACCGTCAGCGAGGATGGATCCAAGGCATACTGTATATTACACTCTCCAATTATTATGAGGTGTGGAATCACTTTGATTGACATTAGAAAACATTGATTGATATCTTGACGGACAGATGTTTGAGATGGTGGACAACCTGACAACCTATGAAGCGATAACACAGTATTTTGTATGTGCCGTTGAATGCCAGGTTTTCTTCATCCTCGATTTCAATTGAAGCCGAATATGGCGCACTCAACACCGTGCGTATTCGTATTTATTGGTAGGCTCTATGGTGACTGTTAATTAGCAAAATATAGTTCCAAAATTCTCACCACAACAGATTCTCCTGTGTGAATACCCAAAGGATCGATATTTTCCATGTTACATACAGTAACGCAGTTATCGTATGCATCACGAACAACTTCATATTCGATCTGAGATGGAGATGGACTTAGTCGATACTAATGAATGCTTCCAAAATAGGGTGAATTCAAGAAACGAACGAACCTCCTTCCATCCCTTGAGACTCTTATCGATTAGCACTTGATCTGAATGTGCAAGTGCCTGTTGAGCGATCGCCACAAGCTCAGCGCGATTTGTTGCAAAACCTGAACCGAGCCCGCCCAAAGCGTAAGCAGCTCGAACCAGCACTGGATATCCAATCTGTAACACTTCAGTTGGCATCGGCGAGACAACTGGTAATAGCTTCAACATACCTTTTCAGCTGCCTCTACAGCGCCATCTAAAGTGGTTGCGGCATGACTCGGTGCCACCTGCTCACCAATGCTTCTCACTTCCATGTTGAATCTCTCACGATCTTCCGTGTTCATGATGGTCTGGATTGGTGTGCCCAAGACCTTAATAACTGCTTAACAAGCATAATAAAGAAAATGATCTTACATCGAAGTACACCTCACTCAAAATCTGGACCATCCTATAAGAGAACAGATGCCAAAAAAGCATGTTCATGCGCCCCGAACTAACATAATTCTTAGAGAATGCTCGCTAATAGAACGAGCTGGAGTATGAAGACAGCATTCAAAAAACAACAAACAACATGCAAAATCCTTTAGAAAAATTCACCTCAACATCGTAGCTTTTGAAAACATCATCTTTGTAAAGGTCGATGGCACAATTCAATGCAGTCTGGCCGCCAAATGTACACAAAATGCCGGTTGGGCGTTCCTTTTTGATCACCTTAAAGAGGACAAGAGGTTTGCAGGATGCCAGAGCGTAGTCTGATCTGCGGGAATGAATCTTACATCTGTGACGTATTCTTTTGTAATCGGCAAGAAATAGGTAAAGTCTGCAAAACCCTTGGACGTTTGCACAGTTGCTACATTTGGATTGATGAGGACAGTGCGAATTCCTTCCTCCTTCAACGCTTTTAGCGCCTGCAAAATGAACTTGAGAAATTTCAATTATTACAATGACTGGACGCGAATTCACCTGAGCTCCCGAGTAGTCAAATTCTCCAGCTTGCCCAATTGTCAGGCCTCCAGAACCGAGCACGAGAACCTTTCGCTGCTTGCGTATTCGGTAGGAGGAATCGTAACGGATAGACGATGTGAGCAACTCGTCCACGCTGGAATCAAATATACTGCTGTTGAATATCCTCTGTTACAAAATGTTAATATTAAAATTATCGAAAGATAGAAAACCGCCCAACATTACAGAAAAATGGAGGTAGTTCACATCTCTGATTTTTAATTTTACAGAGTAATTAACTTCATTAAAGGAATAATTGACATTATAGGTGTGAGAGGAACAACCCTATGCAGATACTAATCCTTCGGTGGCGGCCGTTTTGAGTCCGAACATTCCCTCTCCATTCCAGAGCTAACCACGCATTCGCGTGGCATAGGCGAACTCAGCGTAAGGTCTATATGTTCCAATTCGCAACGGACGTGCCGCCTTTGGAGCATAGCTAAGAAGGTCTACGTTGAAACGGCGCACAGGCTTGCTCTAGATGGCCCTTTCTACAGTAGCATTGATGCGTCAAAATAATTTGTTAATGGTGATGTACGCCACTTACCGCTACTAATCAAGAACCCCTTAACTAGCGCATTTCTACCCCTTCAATCTCAAACGGGTGAAATTCTGACGGGATACTGTACCACCCATAATAAAGCCCGTCGCTGCCTTCGCCGCGCCGGCAACGTGGGCCTCTGGACCGCACCCTCCATCTTCCCTAGAGTGCAATGTATGCAAAGATAGCAATCCCCGAGCTAAAAGTGTCGAAATACATCATTTCGGGAAATAAAACCAGAACTGAAGTCGCTTAGGAGTGATTATCTACAAAGCGCCTAAGCTAGCAGACT